CTGGAGGCGGAGCTATGACGGTTACCTCTCCTCCTCCTGAGCGTGCCCTCTGACGTCGTGTTCGAAGAACAGACCCTTCCTCGGGATGTACGCCGGGTTCTTCCTGTCCTCGTCGTCGTCCAGCTGCTGGCCCGGTTTGCCCCCCGCCTTCGTCTCCGGGTCGTCCGTCGACTCCTGTGTGAAAGTTCAGATCAGACCAATCAGATGGCAGCAGGTACCATCTTTAATCCCTCCCCTCGCTCGTTACCCTGAGCAGAGGCTCACTGTGGCGACTCACTTCCTGTTCCTGTCTCACCTGTCCGTCGCCGCTCTGTCGCTCTCCTGCGAGGTTTCCCTTCTCCTCTGCTTTGCTCTCCTCTTTGCTCCGCCCTCCGGCCTCTTCTTCCTCCTCAGCTTCTCCGCCCTCCTCCTCCTCCCCCTGCGCTCCCTCCACAGGCCCGTCTGTAGTGGGGGGGCGGGGCTCGCCGGCTGCTGCTGGAGCTTCCTCGTCGCTGTACTGCTCTGCTTCCTCTTCCTCCTCCACTCCCTGAGGAGGACACAGTTTTAGAGAAACGCTCCCTAAAGAGGCTAAAACGTGACGTCACAGCGAGTCGGCGCTCGTACCTCTGAGTGCGAGCCGTTGTCCTCGGGGTCGGCGCTGTCGTAATCTGAGAGGACGGCTGAAAAACAAAGAGGAGTGACATCACCCGACAGCGGCGATTTGACTTCAGGTGGTGCAAAGAAGCAGCTTACCTTCTCCCACGCCGTCTTCACTCTCCTGCAACAACAAAGAAAACCAACGTTAAGCTCCTGCAGCGCCAACGCGGCGAGGATCAGACGCGTCTTTGAGCTGCTGCGAGTACGTCACATTAATCAGCTCCACCTTTAACTGTACAGACCAGCAACAGCTCGATTACTTCAGCAGAGTCTGAACGCAGCTCAAACACCATCAAACGTCTCAGAGTCTCTTTAAACCGGCGCTACAGCTCCGTCTGATCTCACGCCAACAGCGGATTCACTGTGTGTCTGCGTCCGGATAAAAAACAGGATTTACAAGAGTGAAAGGGAAGGTTCACGAGGAGGTCGTGAGACCTGCTGTGATGTTTGATTCGTAGAAGACAACTGAGCGTCAGCTGTGAGTCAGAGAGCGTCGAGCATGTGCAGAGGAGGGAGGGCGGATGATGAAAATGGAGCTGCCAGGCAGGAGACGAGGAGGACCTCAGAGGAGGTTCATGGGTGTAGTTAAGGAGGACATGCAGAGGGAGTGACAGAGGAGGATGCTGGGAAAGGAGGAGGTGGAGGCAGAGCTACGACCCAAAGGAGAGCAGAGATGAAGCAGAAGCCCGGAAACTGGGGACCAGAGTAGCTTAAACACAGCAAAGGTCTGAAATCTCACACTCATCAACAAGCCTGCTGCTGATTGGTTCTTACTAATCTGCTGTTTCACGTTTGTTGTCATGTAAACATCC